TTCTCAACTACTTTCAATCAAATTCCTATCTTTCTCTCAAAGTTTCAATCCAATTTTTTTTCCACAAAATGACTACTGATGCAGGTACGAATTGGTCGCTTCTTGAAGATGTTGCGTTGTGCACTAGCTGGGTTGAAGTTACTCATAATTCCCTTACGGGTAATGAGATGCAGTTGCGAGAAATGTGGAGTTTAATTCATACCAAATTTCTTGAGCAAATAGGTGGGAAAAGAACCAAAGAATCGATGTCCAGTCGTTGGAAAATACTTTGCCATTCCTTTAGTACGTGGAGAGATGCCTTGACACAAGCTAGTAGTAATGTTCGAAGTGGGGCAAATTATGCGGATGAGGTAAGAATATATTATAATTATTTGTTTGTATTATTATTTTGTTACCTAATTTGATTATAATTATTTGTTTGTATTATTTATTTGTTACCTAATTTCATTATTATTATTTGTTTGTATTATTTATTTGTGACCTAATTTCATTATTATTATTTGTTTGTATTATTTATTTGTGACCTAATTTCATTATTATTATTTGTTTGTATTATTTATTTGTTACCTAATAATTTCATTAGTATTATTTGTTTGTATTATTTATTTGTTACCTAATAATTTCATTATTATTATTTGTTTGTATTATTTATTTGTTATTATTATTTGTTTGTATTATTTATTTGTTACCTAATAATTTCATTATTATTCATTTGTTTGTATTATTTATTTGTTACCTAATAATTTCATTATTATTCATTTGTAGCAACTTTAAGCACAAGCATGGTATGCTGCTAAAATCAAATCGAGAAACAAATCATTCCACCGGTGGGAATGTTGGAATATTGTTAAAGATTGTCCTAAATTCAAAGTTGTGCCTGTTGATCCAGAAGTATGCATGAACAACACCCCTCTACACAGCACCTTTGTACACAGCACCCCTCCACACTCTACACCCGATCATGGCTCCCATGTTGATGAAGAAGATGGAGAAGAAGCGCCTGAAACGCCCATTCCTAAACAAGCGTCGGGGTCGACTCGTTATCCAATTAGGCCTCTAGGTAAGAAGGCTTCAAAGAGGAAAGGGAGTGCTTCCAAGAATGATTATGGAAAGTACATGCAAGAACTTGCTCGTCAAGGTGAATTGATGTTGGCACGGGAATTGGCGAAATATGAGGCTGAAAAGGCTAGAGATGAGGCAAAAGCTGCAGCTATTCAACAAGCATTTCAAGCTGAACAGAGGGAAAGAGAGCTACTTAGGCAAGAAAGGGAGTTGCTTAGAGAAGAAAGAATTGCACAACGAGATCGTGACATTATGAACACGCGTTTAGAAGGGTGTCTCCAAATTCTAAATATTTTTGGCAGTCGAAGAAAGCGGATGTGGTGCAAAGGAGGCGTGCAAGAGAAGTGAGATCAAGACAAGATGGTCCTAGCACAACAAGACAAGATGATCCTAGCACCACAGATTGGTTAAGTGGTGATGAATAGGGTACTTTTGTAATCGGAGCCCATAATTTTCCAATCACTTTGGGTTGTAATTTATTATTTATGTTGTTTCCATTTTATTGAAGTTAGTACTTTATTTAAAGTGAGAGCACATGTATTTAATTTCGTAATATATTTATCCTAATAATAGAATCTTTATTCATCAAATTGTTCACGCCAAATAACACACCAAATAAAATTACATAAACATACCAAATAATTCACACCAAATAAAATTACATAAACATACAAAATAATAAAAAACTCACTACAAAAAACACACCAAATAAAATTACATAAACACACCAAATACAAACAAACACACTAAATAAACTTAAGTATCTATTAATGGCAGTTACTATTCATTAAAGGCAGTTAATGTTCAAAATGGTGGATTCAATAGTGGATTGCCATGGGGGAGGGCTCCATGGGTGGAGTTGCTCTAAACGTTATATTAAAATTTACATATAAAGATATATTATTATTAAAATTAGCTTTTTTGCACACGCTCACACGTAAGAATGGGCAACGGTTATGGCAGGTGGGTAACTGCAATTATTTACCCATAACCGTTTATATTCATACCCGCAAAACCGTTTACCCGTTGGGTAATTTCATAAATCGTTATACCCATAACCATAATCGTTTATAAACGGTTATCTATACTCATAATCGTGTACCCATTTAATCATAACCATTTACCAATTTAACCATAACCCTAACCATTTATCCGTTTACCCGTTTTTGAACCCGTTTATCTTTTTTTTTACCCATTTACCTATTTTTTCACCCGTCTACATGTTTTTTTAACAACTTGAAAATTACAAAATAAAAATTTGTCATAATTTTTGTTTTCTGACACTTAAACACCATTATAGGGACATTTTAGCATGCATTCCCCTATTTTAATTATTTAAGTCCTTATACAATTCCAATAATTGAAATAATAGTTTACGAACGATATTTTTTTGCTACACCCAATCAAGTCTTTAATTATAATTCATATGATTACAAAGTAAAGCTTCTAAAAACAAAAAGTAATCATTATCTTGAATGATTCAAAGCTCCAAAATATTCTGAAACTAAACATTTTCGAACACGTTCAATCACAAAGTATCATCGACTCGTTGTCACAAAAAACGACCTACAAAAGAAATGTATAAATTGAATTAGTATCCCATTTAGGAACACCGACACCAATTAGCATGAACAGAAGGCATTATGCAAAATCAACTAATATAAAACACCATTCAATCAAATGTTCCTTTACTAACAAAATGGCATTATGCAAAACCAACTGATATAAAACACCACTGATATAACAGTTTGCTGCTTGTATGGCAATGTCATGAATCAGTTTATAACTTTACAGACATGAATCGGTTACATTAACACAAAACCAAAATGAAAAAAGCAGCCATAAGACCATCATCCTCTCACCCGCATTATTCATGCCAGGTCAAACCTTATAGTTTATATCCCAATTGATCAAAAACTACAGTTTTATAGGCTAAAGGTAGTATATCCCCCTACAAATACCCATCTGGTCCAACAAAACTCTTTACCATATCATATTCACAAAGTGATATATCATCATATCAACTATCTAGATGGCAAGTTGCAGATGTTCTATTGATAGCACTTGCATACATAGTGACCAAATCAACTGGATAATTGTGTGTATTTTACACACGTCTTTGATTTATGCAGCAATCTTACTAGTGTTAATGTTTAATCTCACAAAATAGGCACACATTAATTACAAATACCAAGTTACTAAATTTATAATCGGTGGAATGAACCCTATTGGCCCCTCCAATTCAATTTCGGTGGAATTCAATTTTGTGAGTTCTCTGAGGGTTTTTATTTTATTTATTTTTTTTAATTTTACACATATTAAATTAAATGGGTAAATGGATATCCGTTATAACCGCAGGTAATACCCATAACCGATAGATACCCGTTATAACCGCGGATAATACCCATAACCGCCCATTTAAATTTCACTAAACGGTTATACCCATAACCGTTTATTTGTCTAAACGGTTACCCATAACCGTAACCGTCAACTTTAAATGGACGGGTAACCGCGGTTACCCAAACCCATAGGTATTTTGCCCATCCCTACACGCATGCGAGAGGTATTTTGTAGATTGTATGTTTGCGTACATCATAACAATTTTTATTATTATTAGTTTTCAATAATTTCTTTATGAATTTTTTATCTCTACCGTTGTGTTACAACGATTATTATAACCATGTTTTATAATTAACGTACATGGTCAAACCTTAATTTTCTCTATATGTTGCACAGTTTTAAAACATATAGTAATTACCGTAATTTCTTTGTTGGGGTAAAGAACCACTATAGGTTTTGTTTATTATGGACATCCTAAAAATTTGTCATTTTTCTTTTTACTTTGCGTAAAATAATGATTTATATGTTATTCATGCAATCGTCAATCAACATGAGATTTTAGATGTAAGTTCCTAGCCAAAGTCCATAAACAATAGTACGTAAATATAAATAAATAAATAAAGTAGATAAAAACATTAAGTATTGGTGACAAAACACAAAACAACTTAAATGTCATTGTCACATCCCGGCCCAGGTCTACCACATCCCGGGCCCGTTCCACTACCGTAGCACAATATTGTCCGCTCTGGGTTTACCATTTCCTCACGGTTTTGTTTTTTGGAAACTCACGAGTAACTTTACAGTGGATCACCCATCCTCAGAATGATATGGCCTCCTTCTCGTTTAACTTCGAAGTTCCTACGGAATCCGAAGCCAGTGAGCTCCTAAAAGGCCTTGTGCTAGGTAGGGATGTGAATATACATTTAAGGATCACTTCTCTGAACGATGTGGGATGTCACAATCATAATATAAAGCAAACATAACAATATTTACATTATTCAGAATACACATAGTATATACTCACTCTCTCATTTTAAAGGTATAGGGAGTTCATAAATCGTAACCACCTAATCAATTGCAACTATTCATTACCATGACTTCAGTAATAGGAAACATAAAACAATGAGAAGGTAACTATGATACTAAAGAGTCACGTGTTGTGTTAGTTGTTTTCTTTCTCATGCGACGACTTAAAAATAAAATACAACATTCAGTTATAAATAAAAGAAAATGAAACATACAGTTATAAAAGTAAGTTCAAAGAGGTTAGTTCGTATTATGTAAATTGTTATTTTATCAGATTAAATTAAAATTAAAATCTAGTAAAAAATAAAAAATAAATTGTTAATTCAAAATTTTGTATGCTTATTACTACAGTCTAATGATATTTCTTTTCTTCACCTATATGTGAGAGGTCTCAAGTCCTATTGTGAGGCTTTTGGCTCACTCTCTCATCTCTTAATGTAGATATATCATTTGTTAAAAAAAAATGAAAACTTTGTTTATATATAAGAAAACTAAAATTATAATATAAATATTCTTGGAAAAAGACTTTCAAAGACCTAATTAAAAGTTATTTCCAATCGCGTCCCCATCCCAAACCAAACCGAAAAAACATATACGTTCGTCCTACCCCTCAGAAGTGCCAAAGTAGCTAGCTTTGACCCTGTCCCGCAACCTGAGTCCTCTCCAGTCTTCAAATCGTTGCTGGGTTTTGCTCCAAAAGGTTAGTGGGTTTCTGAGTTTTCATTTCTGAGCTTTTTATTTCACACATTTTGGTTTCTTCCTGCTGAATGAGGTTTATTTTATATATGTTTTTTAATCTTCTATTTACATGTGGAGATGGGTGTGATAATGGTGTTGCAGACCATCTGTTTGTGAATATTCCTGAAAGCAATTTTTCTTTAAATTGGTAAAGTTTATGATAGATAGCAATAGCAACTTGGTTTTGCACCTTTTGCTTAATTTGGATTGCCCATTAGCCTACATTAGTCGTAGGCGCATAGGATGGAGAGAAAATCTTACTCACACCTGGGATGTCACTGCGGCTGCATCTCAAGTCAATCGTGCAATGTCATGTGTTTTCTTTTGCATATGGCATTGCCTGATTGAATCGGGAAACCGCCGCTGTGGAATTCCAGGTTCGAGGCGGTTCTTTCTCCTAGGTGGGATTACGTTTAGCCCTTTGACAGTGGTGGCACTTTGTTTTGCTGCTATGTCAGCAGTTGAGCGGTAGGATTTTGCAAGTCTGCTCTGTAATTGTGGAGCCATTCGGTTAGTAGTGTCTTATACCTCTTGCCCCATTTTTCTTTATCCACTCCAAACCTTGTTATATATAACCATTTCATGACATTACAGCTTCATGACTATGCTACTTCTGTGGGTTTTTTCTTCGTTTCCTTATGCAGATCTTCAAGCAATATTCTTGTTGAATTTTACTTTCTTTTCATTAGCCTTGTTTAAATTTTTACTGTCTTAGTGTATTTTCCTTGTGAATAAGAAGTTTCGTGTGTTTTTCATGATATTTGAAAGATTTGCTTCTGGTGTGCATTAAACGTTCAACCCTTTTCGTGAAAAGAAAACATCCGGTTCCTGATGCAGGGCGGAGCGGAGATATAGAAAGATAGTATAAGCTTGAGACGAAGGTTGAAAATGAGCAGCGAGGCTTTGCAAGTTGCCAAGGTGTACCGCCACCTTCTCAAAGCCGTGAAGAAACATGTTGCCAAAGAAGAGAGTAAGAGGCATTTTATAAAGTATGCAGCCGAAGAATTTAGGAACAACTGCAAACTGTCAGACCCATCTTCTATTCAGCATAAGATGAAGCTTGCCGAGAACTACACTTTACTTCTTAACAGTGTGCACCATCACAAGGTACTTCTGTCCTTCAAGGCTCTAATCAAAGTTCTTTCCTTTCATTCCTTTTGCCAATTTTAAGGCTTTTGGATGTTTCATTATACTAGGTTGCTCTATTGAATATATGCGTTGCGTATGTAGGATAAACGGATACTGAAATGGTTTTGTTTTTAGATGTATCAAGTTCTAGTTTTGCCATTAGACTCATTACTAGTTCAATGTCTGCAGTTAGAGTCATTAATCGCGCCCACACACAACTGACCCTATCATTGCGTGTGCGGCGTGACTGACCCTTGGATGATCCTATTAAATTTATCAAATAGAACCCCCTGGAAAACATTCATGTAAATTTTCATAAACTAATCTAAATAGTTTTCATTTGGAGTGTTTTTCTCGAATTGAGCTCTCGAAGTGTTTTCCTATAAAACTTAGAGTCGGGTGTAATTTCTAATTTACTAAATCTTTTTTTTTTCTACATTTAGTGATCGGATAAGGGCTCGTTTGGAAGTGCTTTCAAAATATTTGAAAGCATGAATACGGATACGGATACGGCGATACGATACGACATGATACGGCGATACGGAAAATCTCTAAAAATTAAGATACGATACGCTATGGATATGGCAAATAAAAATGTATATAGCAACAAAAATATACATTTTAAAACATAATTCATTATTCTAATTCAAGTACATTTGAGTTATTAGAGAAGGAAAGTTCGAAATTTAATCCTCTTTATATAGTAGAAGAAGTGTGAGAGTCGTATTCATGGTTTTAATTAGAGGGAAGCTCTTTGTATTTAGCAACTTTCAATTATGGATGTCTCCTATTAATTTTCTACTCCTCATTACCTTTTTTTGAAAGTGTAAATGTATCTTAAAAGCAGGATACATGTATCCTAAATGTAGGATACACATATCCATCATGTCAAATTCGTGTCCATCAACCAAGGTACGTGTCGGACGAGTATCTGAGAGTATCGAACAAGTATCGTATCCGATCAAGTATCGGATACGGGATATGGAACCAAACAGAAGTATCTGTGCATCATATCCGTAGTAAAAATGCAAGTGAATTCTTGTGCTTCTTGCAGGAAGCACTTGAAGTGCTTTTGCAACCCTAAAACATTTTCTCTAAAAGTGCTTTCAATCATTTTAAAAGCACTTTTAAGCGAGCCCTAAAATTAGTATTCTAGGAATTTCATCCAGGCTGAGTAATGAATGTGCACCTTTTTTCATCTCTATGCCTACTAGCATCGAATACTTACTATTTTCTATTGCAGTAACTTTGTTTATCTAAGAAACTATAGAGCTGCATCATAACGTTGTCGCTTTCTCTTCATCGAACTTTCTAATTTTGTATAATTTGCTGTGCAGGACTTGTTGTTCTCTTACAACATTGCTGTGGATAGATCAGATGAGATGAAGAGAGTGCTCGGAAAATCGGCTGCAAGTGTGGGTCTTCAACTTCCTGAGGTCTATCAACCTTGATATTTTGGTTGGGTCCATATGCTCCATCCTATATCCTCAGGAATTTTGGTGTTCCATTGATAAATAATTAAAATGTTATTTGTTTGCTGCCAACGTATCGAACCAAACATTTGTTTGAGAGGTTATTTGTTGTAACAAAATTAAGTTCTGCTGCAGCATCTGAATCAATCCTCTGTACTTTTGACCCAAGGAAATGGAAATATTCCAAATGTTGGGAGTTATAATGATTTCACCAGGGTTTGATATGGTGGGGCCCCATGCGTAATTTTTAGGGTTCATTTGGAAATACCTTTAAATGGCTGAAAGTGTTTTTAGTGGAAATGTTTTGGGACTAATCTTTAGTAAAATTACATGTGAATCCTAGAAAAGCTTATCAAGTGCTTTTAGAACTCAAAGACATTTTCTCTAAAAGCATTTTTGATTATTTTAAAAGTACTTTCAAATGAGGTCCTAATAGTTGATGCAACTTCCGAATCAACGGTTAAAAGACGAAATTAGGGTAGCACTCTAGCAAAATATGGTGATAATTAAATCATTTTGTGCTGTAAATTCTATCCCAAATCTCCCAAGCGAGCGTTATAGGCAGAAATGTTTATCCACCCAACATAATGCGCACAAAGTTTACCCAGGCTAGGCTTCCACAGGAAGAAACATGCAAAACTCGACACGTGTCGGTCAACAAATGAGAACTTTAATGAAAAGCACCTGATACTGTTCACTTTAACGAAAAACCACATTTTTACACTAAAAAGTCAATATTGGTACTATTCACTTTACCCTTTATTTTGTTCTTATCATTAAAACTCAAAGTTTTCAAACCCTTTTCATTAGTTTTCATTTTTTATAAATCTACTTTGACTGAAGTAAATCTAGAGCACAAAGTGGAGCATAAAATCCTCCCAAATTTAGCACAAATTGTGGTTTTCATTTTTCAATCAACAAAAAAAATGGGTTCAGAAACGTTTCTGGAAGTGATATTGGCAATCATCCTCCCACCTGTTGGAGTCTTCCTTCGTTTTGGCTGTGGAGTGAGTTATTCTTTCACCCTGTATTCCCCAAATGCCATTTCATTTTCAGAAATTAATCGTCCTGAATCTCAATTGCTGAAATGATTCGTTTTTTAGTATGTCATTGATATTATTTTGATCAGTTCAGCAATTGAAATGATTCTTTTATTAGCATGCCGTGGATATGATTTTGATCAGTTTAGCAATTGAGATTTGATTTCTGATCCTTTAGTTTATTTACCTTTTAAATGTATATTGTGGGAAAGTGCAGGTGGAGTTTTGGATGTTTGTTGCTGACAATATTGGGATATATACCTGGAATCATATATGCATTATGTGTCCTTGTCGTATAATTAAAAGCTTTGGATGATCAAGGAGAATAATGGATGACGGCAAACGCGTGTTTTGGTGTGAGTGTTTAGTTTGGTCAAACTTTTGTAATCCAGATCTTAACTTCTCCTTTTACATGCTAATGTCACCATTTTTAGTTTTGTTATTTTTTTTTTCTTTTTCTGTCAAAATTTAAAAGAAAACTAATGAAAAGGGCTTGAAAATTTTGAGTTTTAATGATAAGGACAAAATAAAGGGTAAAGTGAATAGTGTCAGGATTGACTTTTTAGTGTAAAAATGTGATTTTTCGTTAAAGTGAACAGTACCATGAGCTTTTCGTTAAAGTTCCTAATTTTTAAATGTCAAGTTTTTTAGTTTCAAGTGGATATGTATAAATATGTAAACTTAACAATAATATCGAAGCGGAAACTCTTAAAAACTCACAAGTAAATTGTTCGAAAGCAAAACAAAAATGTTATGGTCTCGAAAACACGAAACGTATGAACACAACGTGAAGGAAAAGATTATGCAAGTCATGTTTTTATAGCTCGATGTGAAAATCATCTGTTTGCATGATATGTTTCAACCAAACAGAGATTACAATTCTTGTTGGAGGAAGTGTCTGGAAATGTTTAGTTTCGTCTTGTTTTTTTTTTTTTTTTTATTCTTTTTTAATTTTTTTTATTCTTCTTTATAAGGTTAAAAGTAACACTTCTTTTTAAAAAATAAATAAAATGTTTACCGATTTTAACCTATTCAAGGAAATTTGTAACAGCTTTCCGTTACGATAATTATATGTTACTTCCTAATTAGTATAGAGTTGTTATCTTTATAATCCCTTTAGGCCATCTCTAACCGAATGGTTCAGAGGGCACCGTCTCCAACCAAGTCGCAGCAAAACGTTTTGGTTTCTGTAATCCCACATCGCTCACGCAAGGGCAGTGAGCAAGCAAACAGGCTTATAAAAGCCATATTCCCAAGCTTGGTTTCTGTAATCCCACATCGCCCACGCAAGGGCAGTGAGCAAGCACACATGCCTATAAAAGCCACATTCCCAAGCTTGTTTTCTGTCCTATATTTGTGGACAACGATCAAATGCTAAAGATGAAACAAATATAGGATATAGAAGGCCCCAAATTAGATTTCTATCCTATATTTGAATGTTCTACTGCTTAGCAAAAAAAGCTACAAACCTTTTGCTTATCAACAAAAAAAGACAAGTCCTTGCACTAGATATACTTTCAAATTACGTTGAGTAGCAACCTGATATATGTATTCGGACGAATTATAAAACAATTGACACACTCCTGGCTTCCAAAATTCAATTCTTTTACTTTATATAAACTTGAAAAAACATAATCGGCATCCAAATTAAAGTTTAGTCTTATTCAACGTATTGATTTTCAATCATTAATTGATATACTATAATGTGGAACTTCAATGCCTAGATGCATGCTTATGTGTAAGAAATTTAAAGTGTCAAATTCGGCACATTATTCTTCATCATTTTATTCACTTCCTTTTTTTTTTTAATATCCTAAATAAAACCTCCCAATATTGTACTAATTAATTATATATAAATGATTATGGTGTGTTTAAACTTCTTTCATTAATTACTACATATTTTCTACACTCACAATGTTTGCCAGCTCGCTATATAATCAACTTAAATCAGTTAAATCCATCATGCAATGCATTTCCTTCCAATTTTTTGTGATAAACTAATAGATAATTGACTAAATAAACATCCTGCAAAGTTTCATTAAAAATTTCCAAGTTTTTCTTACAATTTCCGTGGTTTCCATGTAATTTTTATCGATATCGATATTATCCCGATATTTCCATCGATATTTCCGTGTTTTTGGACTACCGATATTTCCGATATTACCGATATTTTCTTCCTTGGTTATAACCGACATTAATGCTAAAACTAAAATTTGAATCCAACGGTTTAGTCAGCTAGCCGTTGGATTCAAAAAAAATTCTTTTTTGTAGTTTTTAAATTTAAGTTGTTGTAATTTTTAAATTTAAATAATAAATTATGTTTGACCCTATGGCCCTCGGTTGGAGACGGTTTTTTTTTGTGACAGGGGCTAAAACAAGCCTTATGACCCTCTGTTGGAGACGGAGGCAAATATGGCAATGTACTGTTCATTAAAATATTAATATCTTGGAGGGCCAGAGGGCTAAAACGAGTCATCTGATCAGCCCTCGAATGGTCCAGAGGGTCAGAGGGCCGAAAATAGCCCAAAAATCGTCTCCAACCGAGGGCTAGGCCAGAGGGCTCGTGGAATCTGAAAGGGCCCCACAGAATCTAAAAGGGCTAAAGGGCTGGAGGGCTGACCAGAAAAAAACATTAATCATGTCGCTAGCTGGCGCCAATTACTGTTGGATTCAATTTTTTTTTTTTTTTAGGTTTTGGGCTCTTTTTCTTATTAGGAAAAAAATCTAATTTTTTTCCTATAAATACTTAAACCATTCATTCACCATTCCTCCCAAAATTTTCACCATTTCTACACCATTTCAATTCTCATATTTTCATTCCTCTTTCAAAAATCTATCATTCAATTTTTTCAATAATTTTCAAATGGCCTCGTCTGCAATGAAAGGTATGGCTTGGACCCGAAAAGAAGATGAAACTCTTTGCAGGGCTTATAGATGGGTGTCGAAAGATAGTGTGAGGGGGAATTATCAAACAATGACAGTGTTTGGACTCATGTGTCCAAAAAATACTTAGAGCTCTATGAAGGCACCACTCTAGTGAATAATCGAAACCACGAGAGTTGTTCTTCAAGATGGAAGAAATATCTTCAGCCAAGTTTGAACAAATGGCATCAAGCATTGTTAGCAACCACAAGTAGACATGAAAGCGGCACTAATTACAACGACAAAGTAAGTGTTTTCACAATTTATTTTAAATATTTAATTATATTACATTTAATTTCATAAATTAATTTCCTCTAATTTTTTTCTAGGTACGCCAAGCGGAGGAATTGTATATGCAGAGTAGCTCGAAACCCTTTCAGTTTCACAGTTGTTGGGAAATTTGTAAAGGGTGGGTGTTATTTGAAGATCCACCACATAGAGCTCCTACGCCGATGTTTGGAACTGCATCCTCAGCTGCAGATATGGATGAAGATGGATCTCCAACCATAAAATGTATACTTTGACTGAAGTAAATCTAAAGCACAAAGTAGAGCATAAAATCCTCCCAAATTTAGCACAAATTGTGGTTTTCATTTTTCAATCAACAAAAAAAATGGGTTCAGAAACGTTTCTGGAAGTGATATTGGCAATCATCCTCCCACCTGTTGGAGTCTTCCTTCGTTTTGGCTGTGGAGTGAGTTATTCTTTCACCCTATATTCCCCAAATGCCATTTCATTTTCAGAAATTAATCGTCTCGAATCTCAATTGCTGAAATGATTCGTTTTTTGGTATGTTGTTGATATTATTTTGATCAGTTCAACCATTGAAATGATTCTTTTATTAGTATGCCGTGGATATGATTTTGATCAGTTTAGCAATTGGGATTTGATTTCTAATCGTTTAGTTTATTTACCTTTTATACGTATATTGTGGGAAAATGCAGGTGGAGTTCTGGATATGTTTGTTGCTGACAATATTGGGATATATACCCGGAATCATAATAATGGATGATGGCAAACGTGTGTTTTGTTATGTTTTTTTTTTTTCTTTTTCTGTCAAATTTTTAAATGTCAAGTCCTTAGTTTCAAGTGGATATGTACAAATATGTAAACTTAACAATAATATCGAAGCGGAAACTCTTAAAAACTCACAAGTAAATTGTTCGAAAACAAAACAAAAATGTTATGGTCTCGAAAACACAAAACGTATGAACACAACGTGAAGAAAAAGATTATGCAAGTCATGTTTTTATAGCTCGATGTGAAAATCATCTGTTTGCATGATATGTTTCAACCAAACAAAGATTGCAATGCTGGTTGGAGGAAGTGTCTGGAAATGTTTGGGTTTTTTTTTTTTTTTTTCCCTTGTATATAAGGTTAAAAGTAACACTTCTTTAAAAAAAAAAATGTTTACACTTGATTTAACCTATTCAATGAAATTTGTAACAGCTTTCCGTTATGATAATTATTTGTTACTTCCTAATTAGTATAGAGCTGTTATCTTGGTAATCCCTTTATAAATATTGTCAGACTTCTTTAGCCTAGTCGTGGTGTTCTTCGTGCTTTTTGTCATGGCATCCATCACTTTCTCCATGAAGAAGAAGAGGAAGGGATGGATGTCATGACAGAAAGCACGAAGAAGACGAAAATCGAACCCAAGGTGAAGAACCTTGATACCATGTTTTCCTAGGTAAAACAATATTTATACGGGATTACAAAGGTACCAACCTACACTATTTACAATGTAAAGTACAATATCATAACGAAAAAGTTGTTACAAAACTCATTGAATTGGTGATGAATGTTGTGACTCCCTTTATCATTTTAGACATTTCAGAAGAAAAAAAACATGGCCTTTTCTCAAAACGGATTATTATATTGGAAGTTGTAACATTCTAGTGGTCATCTGCCCCTCTAATATCATATTTTGGTTTCAGTCTCTTAGACCAACTTCAATGCTTGGTATAGATTTGTAGGTCATAAAATTTAGAGCTTGTTTGGTATTTTATTAAAAAATTGTATTATTTTTCAAAACATTTCTTAAGAACATCATTTGAAAATAATTTTCTTTAAGATTCAAAAACTTGTTTAGTATGAGATTGAATTTTTTTTTATCTTCAAACTTAAATTGGGCAAAAAGATCCAAAGAGGGGTTGCATGAGAAGGAGAAAGAGGACAGAGGAGGAAAGAAAGAGAACCGGAGAGACAAAAAAAAGAGAAGGATCGGAGGAGAATCGGATGGGCACGGGCTAGGTTGGGCCCAATTTTGAAGGAATCTCTGATCCTACCCGTTTTAATCTATAACGGGACGGGTTGGGTTGGGTACAGAGATTTTTAGTTTTGGAACTGAACTTTACCCAGCCCGTTTGAACGGGCGGTTCCGGACGGACCAATGATCCAACTCTTTTTTTCTTTCTTATATAAAATACATCATTTTTTTAAAATAAGGCTGTAGCCACTGCACTGCAATGCACATCAGCACTGCAGCACATATTAGGGGAGGGATCAGGATCCTCTCCTGAGCAAATAGAGAGGATCCTCCTGACCGGATCCATCAGACCGTTCAAATTTTATCTAACGGCTACAATTATTATAACTTTTAGTGGAGCCCCCTGTTTGTAGCCGTTGGATAAATTTTGAACGGCCCGATAGGCCCGGTCAGGAGGATCCTCTCCATTTGCTCAGGAGAGGATCCTGATCCTTAGGGGAGTATAAAAAGCAGAGATTGTGCCTAACAGCACATATCAATATTATTATCCAAATCCAAATTAACATCTCCAAAACATCCAATGCAAAGTCCAAATCCAAAGTAACATTCAAATCCAAAATAACCCAAAAGAAAAATTAGTGAATAAACCCTTTGAAAACTTAAATAACATTGCGTTAATCTATCCATGGTTCCTAACCGAGTGCAAATTATACAGTAATTCATATATGATATACACAATTCTCATCTAACTTGTGAAGTTGTTCATTTTGTTTCAAGCATTAGGGGTCCTGACAACTCGATGAAATAAGGTTCCAATAAAAGAAAAAAGTAGATCTAATTCGTATGAATATTAAAATGCATCATTCAAAATATCATAAGATGTTTTGAACACAAGCAAAAATGTCGGACTATGGTTATCCTCGATTTAATCACAGGATGATCGTACCCATCAATAGACGGGTTCGAAAAATAAATTCATAGATGTATAATACACTCGACAATGAGATTTTTAAGTCCATCATAGGACAAGTCATATGCCCCATCGACGAGTGCCAAGAAAAAAAAAATTGATGCCACTAGAACGTAAGCCCCGTTCGGTTAGGTCCAGCAAATGACCAAGCGAATAACTATACCATTGGCCAAGGATATCCGGGCATGAAGCCTATAAAGCTCCACGCGTGTCTCAGCCCATCGAACAAGTCGATAAGACTCCAAGCACTCGGAGGCCACCTGTTTCCAGGGCTGCATCTCTGCAGATCATGGCCCGGGGACTTTCCTGGGCCTCGTTCCGTTCTCAGAATTGTGGCCCGATCGCTTCGTCCGGTGGCATCACTGGCAGCCTTTCTGCGAAGGTTTATAAAGCCAAGTAAAATTATTACCTCTCCGATGTGGGATGTAAGGACATAAAGAACAAATCCACGACTGAAAAAGTAAAAAGGGCAAACATGTCATTTACTGAGGTAGGCAAGAGTAAACGAAGAATTTTTAGGATATTCATTTATGATCCCTATATAAATTCTATCTGAATCTACTTCAACTTCATACAAGGGTTGATCAGATTCGTATTGTTTTGGTGAAAATATTCCTGATGTATAGAGAACCATTTGTGATAAAAATCCAATATAAGAATAAACCAAAAGTTTTAGTAGTTAGATACGCTGATCCGAAAAATACAAACTTTATAAACACAATGTGAGAGAAATATTTATATGATACCGAACGGGTTCTCAGACATTGAGATATGTCGATTTTGGTATTGGATCAGACCTCTTGTTTGGTTTCGTGGAGTATTGGATCAGACCTCTTGTTTGGTTTCGTGGAACCAACGTTGCCAACTAATATCAAGTTGAATATAGTTCTTCACGATCACAGCCATGCGAAGGTTCCAAACTTGAAAAGAAATCAATGTCTAGGGAATCCATCACTGGCCAATATAGAGCTTAATTGGAATAGATGATGGAGATTGACGTTTCTTTTCGGTTTTCGGTTGCTAAACGTGGTTTAAATCGATATGCTGCTATGCCAATTTTGATATTCTGTGATCAAATCATCCTATCATGCAGACATTGTGATCACAAACCAGTAAAAGGAACTTTAACGAAAAGCTCCCAGTGCTGTTTACTTTAACGAAAAACCATATTTTTACACAAAAAAATCAATCCTGATACTATTTACTTTACCCTTTATTTTGTCCTTATCGTTAAAACTCAAAGTTTTCAAGCTCTTTTCATAAATTTTTATTAAATTAAAACCAAATCAACTTTTGATAGTCCTACATTTCCAAAATTTTGTTTCAGTTGGACACATCCAGATTTGAATAACAGAAACTGATTCTCACCAAAAGTAACTGAAAAGTTGTTACAACTATCATCTAAATGGGAAACAACGCTACCACGACAGAGACTTGAGGCATAGACGAGCTCCCTCGATAAGCTTAAGACCTTGGCTTTTCCTTCTTCTCCTTGAAGAGGGCCAACAAAGAGACACCAGACACCTTCACAACCTTGAACCTGACTCCGGGAATATCTCCCACAGCGTGCCCCTTCCGTCCGAATCCAGCAATCAACACCTCATCCTGCGCAAACCCAATCACGTACATATCACTAAGTTAAGAAAACAGAGATGATAACAAGCATTCCAGGACCGTTATACAAGAATTAAAACTCTTTGCAGATCAAGACCACAATCATTGAAATGGGATTTGAAACAAAATCTAACATACTGGAGGATGATGGAACTTACATTTTCCTCGATGTAGTTTAAGCAACCATCGTTGGGTACAAAAGCAGCAATCTTCTTTCCATTTTTGATCAGCTGAACACGAGCACACTTTCTAATAGCAGAGTTAGGCTGCTTAGCCTCAATACCACTGCATTAACAATCCACGATGTGTGACAACTCGATTTAAACCTAAACGCAGCATAAAAAACAAAATACAATGTTCAGGGAAAAGAGGGAGAGAGATAGAGATCGTACATCTTTTCTAGGACAATGCCTTTGGCATGAGATGAACCAGAAAATGGCTTTTTCCATTCATTCCCAAGGTGGGACTTCTTGTACGACTTGTCAGCCCACCTCTGATTCCTGCGGTGGGTCTTGAGCTTACGAGCAGCTCCCATTCCACGTGTTTTCCTGCAAAACACACACAATCTCTTAATTTCAAAATAATCTCACTTAAAACCAGTATTCAAGAGCCAGAAAATGCAATCCAATCTTAAAACCAGTTTACAAGGGCCAGAAAATGCAATCCCATCTCAAGGATACAGAAGCATAAATCCACCACCGTTAATTTCAAAACAATCATGCAAGCATTAGTCAAGCAAAAATAAATAAAAATTAAAGGCAACCGCTCACGCTTCATTGCATTCAACAAAAGAGTTCGAGTATGATTACCAACAAACCATTAGACGCCCCATGGTACAATTTAACATCAATACCCACGTATGATTCAATTCACTCCTAGAGCATACGCTACTCATTCCAAATCATTCATACTACGAATCCTACATATCGCCCGTAAACTTAACACAGCTTGTTCACATTACAGATGAACCTTAACAGTACAATGTCACTTCAATCACATTTGTTCTAATTACATCATGTTTCCTTAGAAAAATCATGTCCTAATCTCATTGTCCCCAATCAAAAAACAAACTAAGCTTTGTCAACCTTGATTTACCCCATTCCACCCGAACATAATTAAAAAAAAACCATTCACTAATTCTCTTTTGCTTCAAACGCTTTCAAGGCAAACCAACACAGAAAATTTTGCAAACAGAAAATTAACCACACATAAATACATTGCGAAAACATGAACCCTAATCGAAATGCTTTAAAGTTATGATTTTTATCACGAAAATTGTCAGTTTGGCTGCACAGAAAGCTTGGGAAAAACCAATACACCAGATCCGAGCCAGTACACTTTATCAAAGCAAAACAACGAGATTTTAGAGCGAGAGAGAGAGAGAGGAAAGAGAATTAGGTACCCCATGGCGGCTGAGAGAAGAGGGCTCTGGACTACAACGAAGGTACCGCGAGGTGTGAGGCGGAGGGGAAAATGCCGGCTGCTGAAAAACCCTAAACTCCGCTTTCTCAATTCAGAGATGAGAGATTTTATATAGGGTTAGCTCTGTACTGGCTTCTTTAGGTGGTCGAAACGGTGTCGTACTATAATTATGGGGTTATAATTCTCTTATGACGAACTTTTCAGTAGCATAACTTTCTCATCTCATCAAAAATTTGTAATACCTAATTTTTAGTGACGGGGTGATTTTCACATACTTTTTTTTAAGCACAACTTTTTATTTTTAAGTATCAAATTGAATAAATCGTACGAAAACAAAACTGATATGATATTTTTTTACTCAAGTCATAACAGAATTGTCATTCTCCAAATTTTATAGATCCCCAAGTATTAGGCATGACAAGCACTCTTGTCTGCCTTCATCTCATTTCACTACACAACATTACGATCCAAGATCAATGGCAGCAACATTATTAGCCAAACAATCCATTTGTTCTTTCAAGTAATATGCATTATTTTCCTTGTTATTTCCTGCAGGACGGTGCATGTTGGGCTCCTCATTCTCTTTGGTTGCTTGGTTGCCCACCCTCTTGAGGGCCTTCCCCATATTCTTGCTTTCTGCGGCATCACTCTCAACTTCTGCAGCATTTTGAACTTCAATGTGCGCTGGACTCCGAGGACTGATGCTGAAAGTAGGCCAGGGAGAGCCAGTTTTCCGCAATGCAAGCTTCCCGTTCCTCGTCCTGTCTGATGATCTAGGAGATTGAAGGTTGCCATTTTGATTTTCAGATCCATTTCTGTTAGTGTTTCCGTTACCTGCTCGACTTCTAGACACTATGCTGTTTTGTATACCGGAATGAAACTGCATACTTCCACTTGATCTCACCAGTGAACTCTCCTGTCGATTGAAGAGATGTTGTACAACTTAATGAGTTTTTGCTCCACAGCATATAGCGAATTTGAGACATGAAATCATTTGTTTAGTACAAGAATAATGAAGAATCCATATGAAGTGAACTAACCTCGTCAAAAAAGCCAATCTTTGGTGATGGTGCTCGGAGACATGAGGGCTTGATATGTTTAGAAACACTGCTAGGAATAGGGGTACTTCCTGTTGACATATTTCCATCGCGTGCTTGATTTCCATGTCCAATGCTGGGTTGATCCTGTGAATGGCTCTCCAGAATTGATTCCTGAGAGATATCACTCTCAAAAGAAGCCTGTCCGCTGATGAAAGTATTCATGCCGACCTCAGACTTCTTCCATCTTTGATTCGCAGATGCTGATGATGATGCTGAGGACCAGCCATCAAAGGAACTAGCAGGTGATGTATAAGGGGAAGACTTTGGCGTGCACAATAGAGTAGAAGGCTGCCAAGAAGTTTCGAGTTCACCTTTGTTTTTCTTTGTGGATTTCGAAGGAGTTCCCATCGTAAAACCACGGGAGGCTGAATTGACAAGTGAGGAATCAATTTTGCTCCTCGAATACAATGGAGATTTACCGAATAAGGGAGAACTGTAAACCCGAGACTCATGTGTGGTAGTGGGAGAACATAATGGAGATGTCTTTTGGGGCGGTGTAAGACTATTGGTGATGCTGCATGATGCGCTTAAGCAAGGTTTTTTTGACACATTCATAGATTGTCCTGCAAGCAAATCATATCAGCTTTAGTTTGAGTTGCACTTCATAATTACAGAAAGAAAATGAAACACTATGTATAGTATGGTTAATATTTTAGGTCATCTTCCATCTTACCAGGTGCAGCCTTTGCAGTTCCCATTTTTTCATTATTTCCACCGGAACAAGCCCTTTTCGCTGCAGGTGTATAAGATTGGTTAACCCGGCTAGATATCTTTGGCGGTTTGCGAGATGTTGATGAGTTCAATTTTCCAGCGGTAAGCTTCATTTCAGTACTCAGTTAGATAAAAATATGAGTACAGAATGCACCAAAATCAGACACATTTACGCATAAACAATATAAGTAAAAAATAGCTCATTCTACTTAATTACGACATACCTGTTTTTGTGAGAAAGCAGAAGCCTCCTTTAAAATCTTCTCCGTTCCACGCGCATTTAGACTTTGCCTTTCTGATGTTGGCATACTAGCTCTCATCTGAATTCCAAAACAGACATATTCATCCTGAAACAGCCTCGGAAACATGATTACTCACCAAAAATACAACGAAAGAAACTTACCCTCATCCGAGGACAAGCATCAGGATTCTTGGAAGCTGAAATGTATAAGCAAAAGAAGGATACGTTTACACAAAGCACATGATATAAGTCAAGGGTGGAGTTGATTAATTTGTTACTAGCAAAATCAGTCTACTTACGGCGGACACTTTG